GATTAATTCGCTTAACGCCCCTGAGGAACCGGATGATGAGGTTATGCGTTCCCACGGTGCTGCCAGCCACCGCGTTATGAGAGCGGAGATGGCAGCCACGTAACCTTGAGTGTGGAGGGCGACAGCCTGCTCTCCAACTTCTCTCGGCGTAAAGAAAGCACAACGCTGATCTGGCAAATTACGGGGGTCTTCTCAGCGAGAGACACACCATTCAGTGAATAGACTCCACGTCAGGGCATAGGCGCGCTCGGGGAGGGGGCTCTAGCCCGAGTGACGGTATTAGCCACCGCAATCGGAGGTTACCTAAGTCTTCCTCGCGTCTAAAAATCTCTTCAAAGATCGGCGAGGGTGCCAGGTGGTGCCCTGTCCCTGAGAGAGTAGGTGCTCTCTCGAAGGGACTGCCAGGGGAGGGCTATCGCGAGGGAGAGCTCTGACATCCAGGTCCGGTTGAGCCAGAGGGGCGCAACCAGCAACCTGTTCCTCGTCCTCCCTGACCTTGCACAGTAACTGCGCGAGCAGGCTCACTGGGGGAAACGCGTATTTGCGCGTGCCCCGAGGCCAGCTGTAAGCCAGTGCATCCGTGCCGAGAGCACTCGGTCAGGGAAAGAACAACTGGCAATGAGCGATCTCGGGGGAAGCAACAGATCGATCTGGGCTTCCCCGAATCGCGCCCATATCAGCTGAACAGACTCGGGGTGGAGTCTCCATTCTCCAGGACGCAAGGCTGCCGTGAGAGCGCATCGGCTGCACGGTTGAGCTTGCCTGAATATGAATGGCGTGCAGCGATTTCAGCCGCGGATGACTCCAGAGGAGCAGACGCCGGGCGAGCTGAGACATGCGGCGAGAGCGCATACCCCCTATACGGCTGATATACGTCACCGCCGCCGTACTGTCCGTCCTGACCAGCACGTGTTGCCGCTCCAGCACCGGAAAAAAACAGTGGAGAGCGAGGAACACTGCCAACAGCTCCAGGCGATATGCCAATGCAACTGGGTACCTTTCCACAGGTCCGCAGCCGCATGCCCGCAACGCACAGCCCCCCAGCCCGTGTTGGAAGTGTCTGCTGAAACGACAACAAGACTGGACGCCTGTTCTAGAGACACCCAGGCCTGTAGGAACGAGGGGTCGCTCCAAGGGCTGAGGGCGCGGCGACACAGCGCAGTAACAGAGACTCGGTGTGCGCGCGCGTGCCATGCGCGTCTGGGGACTCGATCGTGAAGCCAGTGCTGAAGTGGTCTCATATAGAATAATCCGAGCGGCATGAAGCGGCTGCGGATGCCATATGCCCCAGGAGCCTCTGAAATAGTTTCAGTGGGACCACTATTTTACTGTCGAGCTCTCTCAGACAGTACAGCATCAGCTGAGCGCGCTCTCCGGAGAGGCGCGCTGCCATGGTGACCGAGTCCAGCTCCAGCCCGAGAGAAGAGATTCTCTGCACGGGGGCGAGTTTGCTCTTTTCTCGGTTGACCTGAAACCCCCACAGGTGGAAGTGCCAGAGCACTTTGTCTCTGTGCATAATCAACTGCTCCGAGAGAGGGCAAAAATCAGCCAGTCGTAAAGAAATTGAGTATGCAGATGCCCGCGAGCCGAAGGGGCGCTGAGGCACCCTCCGCGGGCTTGGTGAGGACCCGCGGAGACAGAGAGAGCCCGAAGGGGAGGGCTTTGTATTGCCAAGCTCGACCTTCAAACGCAAACCGCAGAAACTGTCGATGGCGAGGAAGAGTGGAGACATGGAAATACGCGTCCATCAGGTCTAATGCTGCAGACCAACCCAGAGGACGAACGCACCGGAGGATGCGCTTCTGCGTGAGCATTCTGAACGGCAGCTTGTGCAGGCAGCGGTTCAAAACGCGCAGATCTAGGATTGGCCGTGACCCACCGCTCTTTTTGGGCACGATGAAGCGTGGGCTGTAAAACCCGCTCTCCATCTCGGCTGGAGGGAGCGGCTCGATTGCATCCTTCGCCAGGAGGACAGCAATCTCCTCTCGCAAGACAGGGGCGGACAGGGGGCTGACCCTGGTGAATACACACCCGTGACTTGGGGGGCCGTTTCGCGAACTGAATCGCATAGCCGAGTCTGATTGTGCGTATGAGCCACCGCGAAGAGCTGGCCCGCGCTAACCAGGTAGGCAGAGCTCTCGCTAATGGACTCATCGCTACAATCGCTGACGTACCAGCAGTGGGGCAGCGCGGAGTGGGTGTGCTGATCCGGGAAGCTCGCGGGTCCCACGGAAAAGCTGGAGGTGAGATATTTGCTCTCACTCCAAACCCGAGCTCCGGAGGGGAGGCTCGAGGGGTGGGAGAAAGGAGACCGTCCTCCCAGCGCTCGTGAGCCACTGGCGAAACGCACCGAATCTGCAAGCTAGAAAGCATAGCGTCCCAGACTGGCAGATTTCGGGCTGTCACATCTGGGGAAGTGAAAAGTGCCCTTTCATAATGTTTTCATGGCAGTAAAAAGTGCCGTTGGAAATGGGGCCCCGCCCTCCAGCGGGGAAAGAGCAAGTTCCCTCTTCTCCAGATGGCCTGTCCCAGGGGCGCTTCGCGGTCCGTTGCCGGACTTAGCGGCGTTCTGGGCAGGGGGGCTGCCTGCTTCCAAGGTGCCCGACGCGCTCGCTTCGCCGGAGGCTTGTGCGGGGGCGGAGCAGCTCTCGTAGGCGGGCGCCTTCGGCGAGGAGCAGGTATGAATGGCACGGCGGGCGGAGCGGGCTACGGACCGCCGATAAGACATCACCCACCAACTGCTCTCTCACCGCCTTGAATTCCTGGGTGAATTCACAGACAGTGTCGCCGAACCTGGCTGGGGATATGGGGAAGTCAAGAAAGCGGACTTTGTCGACTTTGCGCATATCAGCCAGGGGTGGCGCTCCTGGACCACTAATGTGGACATCGTCCTCCCCAACGCACACGCAGCGGACTCAGTAGTCCGAAGAGCTAAGTCGGCGGCGGTGCGAAGCTCGTAAGCCTGGGTTGGACCCACCCTCGTGCTGCTCGGCCAGCGCCTGCGCTTGGTAGCGCTGGTAGGTGGCTATCGCATGCAAGGCGGAAGCAGCCTGGCCCGCAGCTATGTAAGCTCTAGCTCCGAGGGAGGTAGATAACTTACAGGCTTTGGATAGGAGACGAGGCGGACCCCGCCAAGAAGAGGCGCCGCGCGGATTTACCGCCATCGCGCACTCAACCTGAGGAATCGCCACATACCCCCTGGCTGTTTCACCGTCAAGAGTGGTTAGGGTGGAGGAACACGCAGCACGAGCTGAAAAAAGTGCTTTACAAGACCGCGTGAGCCTACTGTGCACCTCCGGGAAGAAGGGAACGCCCCTCTAGTCGGTCCGGCCGCGGAGCTGGGGGATAAACCATCTCCAACCCACGGCCGAAGCAGCCCGGGAAAGCACGGCTAACATGTCCGTTTCAGGATCCGTAGTGACAGCGCTCACCAGCCCGAAGGGGGCGAGCGGGTCTGGATCATCATCGGACAATGAAAGCCCACCCTCCGATGCCGCGGTGGACATCTGGTCTCCGGTGTCATCGGGCGTAAGGGCTACCATCTGTTAGACGGATCGCTTCCCCCGCCCGAAGCTTGGATAGAGCGCTTAGAGGAGCGGGAGGTCCGCGGGCCCGTGGGCGACGGATTATCTCTCGCTGAAACCCTCAGATCTGCCCGAGTGCCCGCTGCAGAGCAGGGGACAACTGGGGTGGTTCACCCTTTTGCAAAGGCTAACCGCGATCTTGCGCAACAGTCATGGCATCGCAATGACGACATGAACTGCCCGCGAGCAGCGCATTAACATGCTGGACCCCCAGACATGCAACGCAGTGCCCGCGCCCATCATCCGAGGACAGGAAACCACCGCATCCAGAAACGCACAGTCGGAGCGCCGTCCTGATAAGGACGTGCTGCACGACTGTGTTGCTCTTTCTGTGAAGTTTGCAACTTTATACGCACCGCTCTGGAGGACCGGACCCAAAGAACGCCAGGCAAGGGAGAAACCCAGCTCGACCGTCTGCCACTGCGTGTACACACTCTGGACCGGGAGAATGCTCTCGTTCGCTCAGAATCGCTGGTCACAGCAGGAGGAACCCTCATCGACTCGATCAGAAAGTCTCTGAAGCGAAAAGGATAGCGTCTGCTGGCGCCAGGTGAGCTTATATACTCAGTTGATTGCTTATGCCGCTCACCTGCGCAGGCTTGCGCTGCCAATTCATTCTTAATTGGCCCGTTCAATACTCTTTCAGACGAGTAGCTTCTGAACCGAACCTCCCAATGCGTGGATTTTACAATCAAATCCACTTATAGTGCTGAAGTTCCCCCCGAAGGGGAAATATATATATATATAAAATGTTCTCAATGCATGTAAAATAAAAAGTCTTATTACTCAATTTTTAAATATGGACTTCATGTGGTTCTTCATGTCAAGGCCTCATTTAATGAAGCAATCAGGTTTTAAATGTTTGATGCTGTTGTTTCTTTTTTATGTTTTATCGATTATGACCAAAGGTTTTCACAAAGGTTGAAAATTATAGTAGATATGCTTATTTGTCACTCTATAATCCAGAGCATATTGTGAACTGCTAGAAAAAAAATCTTATATAACTCTGTAGTACCATAAAAATTGTATATATTTAGGCCAATTATATATGAATATATCCCTCTGTAAAAACCTTAAGAATAAAAATTTGAATAAAACTGTGAAGAATGGTGTAAGTGCTGCTGAAGAGAAGATAAGTGCAATAGAAAAAAAAACACATTTTGTGAAAACAGCCTTAAAAATATGTGTTGAGATTTAAATCTATAAATAAAGTGTGACTAAAGAAACACTTTTATATTTGAATTATGGATTAGGTTTTACTTTCTATTAGATAGGAAAAAAAAAACACTTGAATTGAGAGTCGTATTCAATTGAACTTTTGCAAGCAGTGTCTCACCATTTGGTTTGCCATCTGCATTCTTGGAAAGATCAGAGACTTATTTTTAATAAAATGTAAGAATAAATGGTCAAACTCACCTTCCATTGGTGTATTGCTATCAGGCCGGTTGGCAAAGACTACATCCACATACTCCATCTGCATCCTCTGCAAGGAGCCCTTGAGACCTGAAAGAAAAGAGGTTTAATGTGAATGTGTCTGTGTATTTTTGTAACTTATGCACAAGGTTACAGGCTACAATAAGGCACAGGTTAATCCTAATTGAAAAGCTGTATGCCTTGACAGATCATAGTTTGTTGAAGACTTATTAAAGCCCTCATAACATCAGGGCAAACTTTGCACTTGTAATCAAGTCCCATAGATGAGAGATCCCCAGTAGTGTAAGTCTAGTGGACTCGACAGTAATCAAGCTATTTTTTCCATGGCCCAAGGGCTTGTTCTCTCTTTGTCTCTGTCTTTAAACTGGCAGAGTGTTGGACTGGGCGGCAAGCAGAAGAGAGTTTGAAGATAGTTGGGGACTGGATTCTCTCTAGAGCAGGGGTCACCAATCTCGGTCCTGAAGGGCCGGTGTCCCTGCAGGGTTTAGCTCCAACTTGCCTCAACACACCTGTCTGGATGTTTCAAGTACCTAGTAAGACCTTGATTAGCTTGTTCAGGTGTGTTTGATTAGGGTTGGAGCTAAAATCTGCAGGAAACCGGCCCTCCAGGAACAAGGTTGGTGACCACTGCTCTAGACATTTACTTTGATAACATTCACATCCTGAGGTCAGCTGAGGCTTTACAATCAAAAAATAATAATGGTTGCTAGGAGTTTAAGATGCAGAAGAAGCCAAAAAGCACAAGCATTTTATCTGACAACATTCTACCTTTTTCTCAACACCATGAAACAGGAATGATTCATTTTGTTTAAGTACAACTAAACCGGAGGTTCTCAAACCTGGCCCTGATGTTCCACTGCTCTCCACAGTTTTTCTTACCGAGGTTTGTTCAACTATGAATGCCCTGCGAAGTGGACATCACTAGATATTCTGCTATGATTCTAGTTTGAATGAACTGCATTAAATTACGGTTAAATAAATCTTTATACTACTGGTAGTTTTGTCCTACGATGCTGCAAACAGTGCTGTGAAAATATATTTGAGATCAAGTAAACTTTGAGTTCAGTTGACTTGAGTTCAGCTGATTTGGCTGATTAAGCTTATTGAGTTCAGCTGTGCTCTTCTAGCAAGCTGGTTGTATCCAAAACTGCCCCTTTACCCTTAAATGTTGCAGTAATTCAGGAAAACACAGGCTGTGTATTTAATTTTAAGTATGCAGAGAACAGACTTGAATTCTTGTGAAGATCGGTCTCGCCAGGTCACCTCGGAAGAATGCTTTTGTTACAAAGACTTCTGGGACTTCTCGAGCAAGTTTAGTGCTCAAATCTGCATCGGTGCATCCTCAATACCAAAAATGCATTTGGGAGCTTTCACACATCTTCCGTTCATGCGACCTTAAGTTTTGTAACTGTACATTGGCAGTTGATGATGACTATACTCAAGAACACGAGCACACAAGATTGATGAAGAACGCATATTAAGAAATAGCCACTATTTGTGACCGAGTGCACTAGATCAATCCCACATATTAATAATATCCCAAATATATATATACAGTTGAAGTCAGAATTGTAAGCCCCCCTGTTTAATTTTTTCCCAATTTCTGTTTAGCGGAGAGCCAATTTTTTCAACACATTTCTAAACATAATAGGTTTAATTACTCTTTTTTTTTTTTTTTTTTTTAAATAACTGATTTATTTTATCTTTGCCATTTTGGCAGTAAATAATATTTTACAAGATATATTTTCAAGACACTACAATACAGCTTAAAGTGACCTTTAAAGGCTTAACTAGGTTATTTAAGTTAACTAGGCAGGTTGGAGTAAATAGGCAAGTAATTGTATAACAATAGTTTGTTCTGTTTGTTCTATCGAAAAAAAAAAATAGCTTAAAGGGCTTAATAATATTGAAACTAAAATGGTGTTTAAAAAAATTAATAACTGCTTTTATTCTAGTTGAAATAAAACAATTAATACTTTATCCAGAAGAAAAAATATTATCAGATTTTATTTATTAGATAGCTTCCTAAGTGTTAAAAAACTATCATAAGTCTGACCAAGAAGTTTAAAATCAAATCTATTTTAGAAAGTTGTTCTCAATCCTCGTCCTCATCGCTCCTGAATGAATATTTCATTTAATCATGCATATTTGTTTCTCTTACTTCTTAGGAAGTTTGTTCCATTTGCACATATCATTGTACATTCTGCCATGATTCTGGTTTGAAAGTGTGTTTAATTCAAAGGGTAAATCACAAGAGTGTTATCTATGCCATTCACACTACTATAATAACTAAAAATGCTCTAAACAGCTGCATAGTGCAAATGTTATTTTATTTATTTGAATTAAGTGAACTTCAAGTACAGTCAATTTCTCATGTGCTGGAGGTAGAGAATAGGCAACACTATGTAAGGAACATGTTGATCTCAGCACAGATTCTTATTGCAACTCTCTTCTAATGAGCGGCTATCTAAATTAGCTGTGTTGAACAAAAGAGACATGCAAAACAAGCATTGCTGGGGGCCGGAATGACACGGATTGAGAACCACTGGCCTGAGGGATTTATTTACCAGCAAAGAACAAACTGTAGCTCTTCCAGTGGACTGAGGGCTCAAATGTATTTATTTGTTTTCATTTACTCCATCCAATGGACTATATTAGTAGTATAATGTAGGGAATAAGAATTGAGGGTAAAGGGGTGTTTTTAGAAACAACACAGGTGTGTTAAACAAAAAACACATGCAAAATATGCAGAGCAGTGGTACACCAGTTCCATATTTGAGAACCGCTAAATTCTTACATTAAGAATTTTCCTGATTTACATCAGACCAACAGAATTCCCCTAAATACTGTTCATCATATGAAGTAATCCAAAAATGTTCTAAATACACAATACACCCTATAGTGTAGCACATTTTTGACGTTTTCAAGACTGAAATTTCATAAAAAATAACCATGTACAGATATATATATATATTTTTTAAGGTAATTGTTTTCATGCCCTACATAATATAAAATTAGAAATTTCACACATAGGGCTTAAGAAAAATAATGAAAATTGTATTATTATCACTCACCCTCATTTTGTTCCAATAATTAAAGAACACAAATTAGGATATTTAAATCCGAGAGCTCCCTTATCTTCCATTGATAATGTTTTAAATTTTTGGTTCGTTTATTTTTATTTTTATTTTTTTTTGGTGGACTTTGAATGTCTCAAGACCTTTGCTTTCTATGTAGGATAAGAGCTCTTGGATTTCATCTAAATATCTTAAAGGTGCAGTATGTAAGTTTGACACCTAGTGGTTGGACTAGGTATTGCACTCCTGGATCAAAACAAACACAAGCGCAGGTTGCCAGAGTGAGGACAGGAGAGAGTGATACTCCTGATGTTCTAAATAAAAGCAATGCATGCAATTGAAGAATTATTTTACATATTAGATAGAGTTTTTTTTCCTTACCAACACCTGAAATGTATATATTATAAACAGTTCATATTTCTTACAGGTAAACAACTGAAAACCGACAATGATCACCTCAGGTAAAGCTCATGTGCTTTATTCAGTGTTAAATGCTAACAATGTGAGTTTGAATGACATTTTTCATGACATTTATTGCCATACTGAAATCAGCAGCAGATAGTTCATCTCAGATCTTGAAAATAAAATAAACCGTTTGAAATTGAACTTTAGGACTAAACACATATGCGTGATTCAGCATGTACATTTAATCATGTTAAAGAGGGTTAATATGTATTAAATAGATTATAAACATTACCATTTCCTGAGTGAGAGCATATTTTGTTGTTCTGAATGCTGTAATTTAATTTTTGTTGTGTTTCATCTGGTGCAAACAGCCAAATTGCTCATCACTGCGCATCTTGTCATGAAGCGGGTTGTTTGGACATGCAGTAACCTGCTTACCTATTGTTTATGTTGGTAATATTTATATCATTTGCTAATTAAGAATTTGATGTGGAACTGAATCTGCGTCTTATTTTGGAGTCTGCTACTGTCCATCGGAGATCGTAGTTTGGTCATGGACGCATGCTTTGAGAGCCGTTCTGAAGAAATTAATGAAATAAGCTAAACTGGCTTTGGGAAGATTAAAATGACCAAAACAAAGACAGCGTTCCGGCATGGAAAACACATTTTCAAAGCAGAATATCTGACTTTAGCATTGATCTTTTAGATAAACAAAAATGTTCACTTGGCATGTTTCTTGAATATCTGCAAAAACGTACATACAGCACCATTAATGTGTTCTGAAGATGGACAAATGTTTGGGGAGATTGAAACAACATGAGGGTGAGATTCACTTTTGGGTGAACTAATCTTTTATGACATCAATCATGGGAAAGGCTGTCACCTAAAGTTTCTAGCATTTACACATTATTTTAAATATCTGTGTATTCTAGTAAACAGATTTTATATCTTAACTTATGTGCCAAAAAAAATTAAAATTAACATTAATGTGTATTAATACATTTGTGTGTGTGTGTGTGTGTGTGTGTGTGTGTGTGTGTGTGTGTGTGTGTGTGTGTGTGTGTGTGTGTGTGTGTGTGTCAGTGGTGGAAAGAGTACTGAATAGTCATAGTCAAGTAAAAGAAACATTACTTGCCTAAAACTGTAGTGTAAGTAGAGTAAAAGTATCTGTTGTAATAACAGATCTGCTGTATAACTTAAAGTAAGAGTAAAAAATATACCTTTTAAAGGTACTCGTGAGTAGTGAGTATTACACTGTTAAAAGCTAATGCGTTTACATGTTATTTGTGGATGTGTTTAAACGTAACATTCTGTAGTGCATCTAGTTATTGCTCAGTCATAAGACGTTAATATTAGGTTAGATTTAGGTTGTGATGTCAGGTGACTAAAATTCCTTGTCTAGCCAGCGTCTAAGGACAACATTATTTTGATGTCCAATAATGACGTCAAATGACGTTGATATTTGGTCAATATTAGGTCGTTAGAAAGTGACCAAAAACCAACTTTGAGCCAACATCTTTGTCTTTCATACTCCTGTCTTGTGGACCGTCTTGTCTTGTGGACATCTTCTTGGACCCTTTTAATGCTTCCAAACAGTTTGCTGCAATTATAAATCACCCATGACTTGAGGTAGTTTATTATGATGGGATTTCCCTTCTATGTGTGGTTTAATTGGACAGGAATCAGAAGACAACTCAGCCAATTCTCATAGATAAGAAAAAATAAAGTAGTGACTGCAGCTTGAAGGAAAGTAGTGGAGTAAAAGTACAGATACTGCACTAAAAATGTACTCAAGGGAGTGTAAAAGTACACATTTTTTAATCTACTTAGAAAATTACATTTTCTGTGAAAAACTACTTAATTACAGTAGTTTGAGTATTTGTAATAAGTTACTTTACACCACTGATTTGTGTGCTTTGCAGCCTAACTAAACCAATGAGCAAATGTGGTGATGTAAATATAATATTGCTGGTGTGTTCATAGACATGCTCCAAATGCAAGGCGCTGCAGGTGGATGAGAGCAGTGTGTATTCTGAGCATTATGTGTGTAAAATAGGTGTCTGGCCCCAAACTTGCTGGCATGGAAGAAAAATATTGGGCCAGCGCAGAACGGCACACAAACCAATCAGTCTTCCTGCCTGTAACCCTGCATATCTAGGCCAGAGAGGTGTGCGTATTATTATTTCTGTACTTTCAAAAGCTAACTGTGTGACCCTGTTGATAATACCTAGAGTATGAAGGAAAGCATAACCTTTTAAAGAGGAATAAATAATACTGTAAAATTAAACCTTAAACGAATAGTTCTGCAACAAATAAATATAAATACAAATTTTAGTTTACTTGTCATCTTTTTGGTCAAATATGTCATGATACTATGTCCCTTTAATTAAATATAACATAATTGGTTTAATTGTATGCTGAAATGTAACATCCCATGCTATTGTGTCTGTTCATTGGTAAATAACATTTTTTAAAATACATCCTACATATATTTGATTAGAAAAATATTGAAATATTTTACTGTTTTACTTTGAGCTGAATCAAACAAATGCAGTCTTGGTGATCAGAAAATACTTTTCATTTGCCAAATATGATGCTTTGTAATAATTCATACCACTTCATACAATTTAATTAGTATGAAAACATACAATTATAAAAAATAAAAAAAAAGACTTGTGCCCAAACCCCACCCCTAAACTCAACTGCAATTAGGGATGAGCAAATCTTACTAAATTTATTACATTTTTTAACAAAGTTGAAATTCACAAATTATTCCAATACATATTTTAAATTACATATCCAGTGCACTTTTGATGTGTTTGGCCAATTACAATGCAGTCAGGTCAGCTAGCCAATCAAAGCACTTTTAGATAGAGTGGGTTTGTAGAAACATAAAATCAATGAAGACAGACTGGGAATAAACAGAAATGGACTGAACTTGGATCTTGTGTTCCTTTCAGAACATTTCATCACATTACAGCCTTGACGATTATTGACTTTTTGTCAGAGTTGTGTGACAGAACACGGGCACTTCTTCTGGAAAGTGCTGTACACTTTTTCCAATCTGTTTTAAAACTGTTCATGACATTTTTTTTTAAGGGGAAAGGGGTGGAATATAGAAACAGGACAGTCCAAAAGTAAAAAAATCTGTAAAAAAATAAATAAATAAAAAAAATAATAAATGCTAGGTTCCACACAATTTGTGTTGGGACAACATAAACAGATTAAGTTAATTTATCGCTTTTTATTAATTTAATTGGATTGAGCATTAATTGTCCCAACAAAATCTTAAAAAATGTTGTTTCAGCTCATCTTAAATAAGTAGTTTGAACAAGCAAAAAAATAACTGAATAAATGAGTGTACAAAAGCAGTCTAGTAAGTGTATACTGAAGTTATTCTTTCATTGACATTCAAACTTCCCTAAAATTAAACTTAAGCAAGTACTAACAGTTTTTACAGCTTTCTTTACCTTTATATAAGAAGGTATATAGTTCTATCACAGGGCTAATGAAAGTCTCCAATCAGTCTTGGGGAACAGTATTGGGGAAAGTTACTTTTAAAAGTAACGCATTGAAATCATGCATTATGTCTTTAAAAAGGTAATGAAACAGATTACTTAATACCTTTTAAAGGAAAATTAATCCATTACATTACTTTTAGGTTACCTGAGTTACTTTTTGTAAAAAAAAGTAACTAAATTATTTTCCTGGAAATGTAGAAGTAATGTGCTACTTTAGTAGTTACTCTCATTATTTGTAATGCTTTACCCCAAACACTGGTCCTAAACAAGTAGACAGAATGATTAAAAAAAGCTTTCAAAAGAGCAGAGATTACACAGAGTTTGTGGCAACATTTTATTTTAAGGTGTCCTCATTACACATGATAAGCCATGTAAAAATGTAAGGTTCCACACAATTCATTCATGTTGTTCCAGCAAAAAAATTAAAGTTAACAACAAATTTAAATATTTCCTATTGTTGGGTTGTGGCTGGAAGGGCATCTGCTGCGTAAAACATATGCCAAAATAGTTGGCAAATCATTCTACTGTTGCGACCCATGATAAATATGGGACTATGCTGAAGGAAAATTAATGATTTAATGAGTTTAAGTGGATTAAACATAAACAATTAAGTTGCACCAAGAAAATGTCAAGAATTGTTTTGTTTCAGCTGATTTTAAACAAATAGTTAGAACAACAGCCAAAATCTTTTCTTTTTTTTTTTTTTTTTGAGTATAGTTATAATTTAAAACTGCATGCAACTAACACTAAACCTAACCCACATTTTAACCCATATATTAAGTACATTCATTAATTTTCCTTCGGCTTAGTTTCTATTTCAAAGGTTGCCAAAGCAGAGAGAACGCCAACTATTCCAGCATATGTTTTACACAGTGCATGCCCTTGCAGCTGCAACCCAGTACTGGAAAACATAGTAAGTACATTCAATTAATAAATATACATCAGTAGTAAAATGAATAGTTAGGTTTAAAATAAAGTTAAACCATTTTCTTCACAATAACTTGATTAAATCTAGTACCTGTAATGAACTAAATAATGACCTTTTATAGCATTATACTGTATACGTAAAAAAAAAAAAACTCACAACATGAATAAATGAATTGATATAAAGTAACAACATCACTGTTGTGACGACATACTGAAATTCAAGGTGCCTTTCAGAGTCAGATGAACTGCAATCTCTCAGATGATGATTTTCCTGACAATCAGATGCATGTCATGTCCTTTCTCTCCTGATTCTGTAGTGTTTATTTAGTGACTAAAGCCATTAAGAAAGTCACTCAAGTGTGTGTCTTTGTCCTCTTTAGTCCTGCTATCTATTAGTCCTGCCTGCTAGAGGACATTAAGACTAAATCCACTCAATCAATGTCCAGTGTGGAGCCGAACACGTTGCACACACACAAACAAACAAATGCTGTGATCACAAAGTAAGAGTCTTTTTACGGAAAAAAAATGTGCACTATACCTTCAATAATGTGCTTCCTAGAAAGGCCTCGTTCAGTCTCAGCTCTTTAGAGAAAAAAAGAGACAAACATCAGACAGCAATATTTTAGACAAAGTTCAGTCTTGCATACAAGGCACATATTTCTTCTGCAAGAATTTCCTACTCATCTTTTTTTTTTCCTTCTTCAAACTCGCCTTTTTGCAAATGTTCCCTTTTCAACTTCAAATAAAACCCTGGCATATTTAAATTCCGATTATTATTCATGAGAGAGGATTTGTGTGGAAGTGGGACAGGTCTTTTCTTTAGTCTTATCGAGCTCCGCAGCTGTACTTCTGCTCACTTACTGCCAGAAGACTTGCTCAGTGAGAAAATGCTGGGTCAGTGCTTGACCTGAACTTAGATTAATTACTGCATTTCTGAAATGTGGGAATCCACAGATGTCGGCGTTGAGTGTGCTGCCATTTAGAATGTGCAACAGTGTGAGAGTTCTGAAATAAAAGTTGTCTTGACAGGAAGTGACACGCACAATGAGCGTAATGACAGTTTACTCACTTTCCACCCCAGTAGAGCTTTGTGGTAATAACCAGACTGGACCGCCTTGAGAAAAGGAGGAAGGAAAGAGGGAAAAAAAGTGAGTTAAAACTGGCACATAAATGTGACAAAATAACTTTCAGTTAATCAATTATCTGTATGTTTACCTGTGTTGTGCAAGTTACTTCCTAACTGTAATAAATTACAGATTACTTATTACTGTTATTTAAAAGTAATCCCTTACCTTACAATATTACTGTCTCAAAATTTTAATGTTACTTTACTCTTATGATACTTTTTAGTTACTTTCACCAAAATAACTACAGAATGAGAACATTCTAAAATGACCAAATGTACTGCAGAGCATTTTACATCCAGTAGAAAGCAACATGATGTAGCAGAATGATTGTGACCTATTCAGACTACTTACAACATAGTATATATTTGGCAACGTGAAAGCTCAAGACAATGCAAGAAAGGATGACAGCCAGAATTACAAATGATCTAAGTCAGTTAATAGTATGGTAGACGTAAAGTGATTATTTGGCAATATCTGTGAATAGCTTGACTATATTCATATTAGACGAAACAGGCCTATTTGTAAACTCCAATGCCATGACAAGATGCTGTTTTTTTATTGTTGCCAATTTTATTCACTTTAAATTCAGGCTCACAAAACAAAACTGTTATGTACAAAGTGAGCATGATGAACAGCTTTCTCAATATAATGCTTGTGCACCGATTTTGCTTGTGGACAAAACTGCTTGTGAGCTCTCAAATATGCGCTGCTTGGTGCAAATTTTCTCACCCTCTCTCAAATATGCACTGCTCACGCACAAATTTTTACGCCGCTCTCTCAGTACACTTTATGTACCGAGTGCACAGATTATTTGAGACTCACAATTTGTGTCTTCCTTTTGTGCTTTTTGATATGATTTATATTGGTGCACTATTTATTAACAATAACCAAAATACTAAAATAGACATACACATTACATTTTTATTCTAATAAACCATAACATTTTTGACTGTATGTTATGGGGTATTTCCAGTTTCAAACACTCAGACACAGAGAAAAGAAGTTGGATGTGAAGAAAGATTTTATTTTTCAAAAGGTGCACCATCCTAATAAAAATAAATAAATAAATAAATAAATAAATAAATAAATAAATAAACAAAAATATGACTAACGCAAGCAGAAATGTAACTGTGATAAAAAAAATAAGGAAAAACTTGACTAGGTATTATAGCCTACTGTACTATTCACTCTTCAAGTAACTCTCACTCTCAATCCCATTTTATCATGTCAACTAAAATGAAGTGAACTTGTCTCTTTGGCTTCCACATTGTTGATAGGACTGTGGAGGACATTTTCCTTGTTATGTACAGTGTTTTGAACAGTACTACAGTAAAGTACTTCAATTAATCAGTTTTAGTAATACTATAGTTGCTATGGTAACACAAGTGTAATAATATAAACAAATTACCGAGTGTTATAGTTTATTTTTTTATTTTTTTACAATATAGGGTATATTATACTAAAATTCATTACACATAATACTAGCCTAAAACATAGGCAGTATACCTAACACTCAAAAATACTAGAATTTACCATAACCTTTAAGTGTTTTGTGTATTGTTAATAAATAGTGTAGCAATATATAAACCATATCATCATTATTGGGATAACCAATTGAACAGGAGGATCTCTGGAGAGCAAAAGCACGAAAGAAAGAGGAAACATGCACTAATTGTGAACTGCATCATCTGACGGAATGAGAGCCAATCATTCGCACGTGAGCAGCTGTGTTTTGAGTGTGTGCGACTGCGAGAAATTTTGCGGTCGAGCAGTTTTCTCCTCGAACAGAGAATTACATGAATCTGCTCTCGACATGTAAAACTGCACTTACGACATTTTTTCAGTGAAATAACACCATATGCACGGACGTTCATCTCGCGAATGCATTGTCTTCTGCCATTTTCATCTATTTGCCGCTCTTCTACTGCACGTCAGGGCTGAGCCAATAGTCTCGGTCCTCGAGCTCAGAGGCTGAAATCATTCCGTGTTCAAAGTAAAAAAAACTTAAATAAAAACCATTAGCCAGAGGCAGATTAATGACAACACAATATTCACTAATCACGAACAGAAAATAGAACTTAGTTGCGGTATTTTTTATTTGTTAATGTCTTGCGAGCAAAAGGTTTGTTGTAACGTGCGCATTACTGAACATGTACCGAGTAAAATATTACTGAAAACGTATTAGTAATGCCTTACACTACTGCGTTACAGGAAAATGTAATACATTACTGTAATACATTACTTTTGTAATGCATTACTTCCAACACTGATGTTTACTTGTGCAGGCATAAATGAATAACAGCATGCATTTTCTGCAGTCAAGCTACAGTCTTTTAAAATATTATACAGTTTAGGTGCAATACGTTTTGCTAAACTGGTTGAAAGTCGTTTCACATACTGAATCCTGTATTTACATGTATTTTAATATTTTGCGAAAGGTCTAAGACTAAGACAAGTTTGTCCAATCAAAACATTCGACATGAATTAGACAGAAAATGAAGAACACAAAGCTGAACCTCATGCCTGCTGTCTAAAAAAATCTGACAAGTGTCTTTCACATATATTCAAAATAAGCTTGTGTAAGCAATGTGAAATGTTCACATATCTTTTGCGAGTTTGTTATTTGAGACAGGAGGGTTAACAACAGTAGCGTGGGCTACTACAGATAAAATCCTAGAACCACCCCTGTTAGTGTATATTACATTAATTATGCAAATACTGTAATCATTTAATTCACAAGCAAATGCTCAGTTCTGATGCCAAATGGAGTCTGATTAACATGTACATGCTGGATGAAGTAGAGCTACAGTAGCATCATCATCTAGACCTGTTAAACAGGACTCTGCAGAGACAGTGATGCCATTGCTCACTGATGACACACATGTGACCTTCGCCTGTAGCTGTTTTGGCAGTAATCTGCAGGTCTCTTAGAGCTGCTCTCATCTGCATTGTAAATGGGTGTAAATGAGCTTTCACTAGTGTGAACTCGCGCTGTGTCCTACATTCAACACATTCATGAAAAAAAAAAAAAAGGCAAGAGCTGCTATGAGAATTTTGGCTTTATAATATAATTAAGAAAGATTTTGAAGCAGAAAAGCGAGGTTGTGAAAATGAACAGATATATTAGGCCAGATGTCATGAATTCAATGACTTGGTTTCACACCCGGTCGTCACTGCGTAGCAGACGATCATCTGGTGTTAAAAACACACAAACTTCACACCATCGCCTCTGAGGAGTGAGATGGTGAAAATGAGGTGAAAGAAAAGAGGGTGACACTTTAGATCACAGCCTGCAAATGACATAGTAAGTAAACCAAATTTAAAAATGTGCTCTTTTTTTTGGTAATAATAAATTCAGAATGAAGGCTATGTGTAAACACAGGAATGACAATAAAAGTTAAGGGAAACAAACACCACTTGCAAACACTTACAGCCTGTAAATATGTTGTTTCCCATGTAAATACAAGAAAAAAGGGGCCATCATTTGCATTTACAATGTAAGATCAGGAAAACAAATACAGCTTTTTAATAATTACAGTTTTTTTTTCTTTGACCTCTTTTAAATTCATTTTCCCATATCCTCTACTTTTTGTTATAACTCGATTTTACAGTATAAGTACAAGGTTTCTGTTATGTTTTGATTAGTTTTAGAAGAATTATAAGTGTTTTCAGCTGCATTGACTTTGATGGAAGAATCAGTTTAATAAATCAAACGTTAACATTTATATAAATAGATCACCTTTAAATTGATAAATTAACAGACATATATGAATTCGTTTTTTAATTGTATTGCTTAATTTAATAAAACAATAAAACAGAATTGTTCAATGGATAAATGCCTAAACAAATAAACAGATAGACAAATTAAAATGTTTTAATTCATGTTTAATTAAAAACTATTGTGCTTTTAAAGTTATTTATTAATATACTTTCTATTGCTTGATTTATGAGCATTTCACGCCATGATTAAAATAAAGTTTTAAATGTGTCTATTTATTTACACTTTTAAAACATATATACATATATATATATATAGCTTAAAGGGGCTAATAATTTTGTTCTTAAAATGTTTTTTAAAAACTGCTTTTATTCTAGCCAAAATAAAACAAATAAGACTTTCTCCAGAAAAAAAAAAAAAAAAAAAAAAAAAAAAAAAAAAAAAAAATATATATATATATATATATATATATATATATATATATATATATATATATATATATATATATATATATATATATATATATATATATATTATTTTTTTTTTTTATTTATTTATTTATTTTTTTTTTTTATTAATTTATTTTTTTCTTCTTTCTGGAGAAAGTCTTATTTGTTTTATTTTGGCTATAAGCAGTTTAAAAAAAAAAACATTTTAAGAACAAAATTATTAGCCCCTTTAAGCTATATATTTTTTCAATAGTCTACAGAACAAACCATCTTTATACATTAACTTGCCTAATTACCCTAACCTGCCTAGTTAACCTAATTAACATATACATATATATTATTTATTGTCATCATGGCAAAGATAAAATAAATCAGTTAGTACAAATTATTTATTAAAACTATTATGTTTGGAAATGTGTTAAAAAAATCTTCTCTCCGTTAAACGGAAATTGGGGAAAAAAACAGGGGGGCTAATAATTCAGGAGGTTCAATAATTCCGACTTCAACTGTATATACATTTTGAGTTTGAATTAAATTGATCAATTCATGTTCAAGTAGGTTATGTGTCACTGTCATAGTCATCTGATATTGGGAATGCAGACTGTTATTTAGGGTTGTACATGTTTCCCAAATCTTTTTTATATTGTTACCTTACCTTGTCCTTGTATCTTGCTCTATAGATAAACTATACTGTAAAAAAAATCGAATAAAAACTTAGAGTATAAAATGTCAGGGGTGGTAGCCGGAATTTAACCTTTTAAAATTGGGTAGGAACATAAAATAAATGCCAAAATTTTACAGTAAATAACCATATTTTGTAAAAATATTTTGTCATACACCAATGTAAGGTAAAACTCTAATGTGTATAATTAATGAACATAGCATAAAAAGTGAAGTGTCACGCAGGGAATCCTGGAAAAATTAACCATACATGTTAAGGAAATGTACTGTTAAACAGGTTGCAGGTTTTTACCAATAATTACTGTAAAATTGTTACAAATGTAATCCCTATTTATATTAAATAAATGGAATTTGCATATATTTAGTAATATTGCAGTACTAATGTTATTGCAAAAGAAGTAAGCAGTAATTCAGTTTATTTACTTTGCAGGGGTGTTGAGGACTGTAATCTAAAGTGCTACAGGAAAGAGAATGAATGAAAGGAAAGAGAAACTGAGTTATGGGGAGGTGTGGAAATAGGTAAGATTTAGAATATTTACAAGAGAAATGAAGAGAGAGAAAGAAAGAAATAAAATATTGATAGAAAAGTAAACCAATGAAAGACATAGGTAAGGCAAATTGGTTCTTTAGCGTAGAATCTCTTTGTTCATTAAAATAGTAGATCTCAGGGGTCACTTCATCTTTAATGGACATCCATCAAACATTTACAGATGAGATCAATCCAGATGTGTTCATGAATTTTGATTGGGGTCATGGGATATTCACACACTAGCTGATGATGTGCTGACAGACAACGGGGAAAGTAATACAGGGCTTACATCTTAGAAGGTTCTGAAGTTCATAAAGATGGGCAGATTTAATTAGTTTGGAGACAGACTGGGTAGAATCATGTAGCAACAATTCTAAAATACTACAATTAAATCAAATCAGTCTGATGAGATGTTCTGTGTGTCAAGGAGAGCGAAGGAGAGACAGTACATGCTGATTTTATGAATATCACGAATGAATACAAAATGAATGTTTATGATAGAAAGTTTCATTCTAAATTGCTTTAAATTATTACAATTTAAAGTTTCCAAAAGCATCTTAAAATATAATTATTTTGACTTTCCAGCAGCAATTATTTCAGTCTTATAATGTCATATTATTAGAATTTACTTTAAATGCTTGTTTGATATTGTACTACTATTAATATTGACAGTAGCTGTGCTGCTTCAGGGAATAGTTTACCCAAAAATGAAAATTCGTTTATCATTTACTTTATTCTCACTTCTTCCAGACCTATATATATCCGAGACACCTATATTTATGTTCACTAATTTCGCATCAAATGCAATGAAAATAACATATTAATTGACATAAAAGGAAATAATAATTTTAGGAGAAAATTTCAGATAGAACTTAGAGGTTTTTGCATCTGAACTCTTCATATATTGTGTATTCAACCCAGGCTCATTCTGAAAATGTACTGCTATATACATTTATGGGGAGCACCAAATACAGAAGCTACTTTTTTTTGCAGTTTTTGTGTAAATCCACCAGAGGTCGCTGTCGACTTACTGACTGACAGATCGACTACTGACCCACCCTCCTCCTTCCCTAAACCGAACCAATAAGCCAATAGGTGTTTTCAAAAGCTCCGATTGACCCACGCACCCACTCACTTCCTTAAACCCAACCGACAGTTTTAAAAAGCAATCCAAAGCTCTCACCTGATTTTTACCTCATTTTCATATATCATTCCACATTCTCACCCTGTTATTTACTTGATTTTTTATTTTTTGGCTTCTGTTTTTGTCTTACCTTCTTTTTGTAATCGTTCTTCGTCAGACTCGAACCCCATCACTGTGGTCAATTCCTTACTGCGTCTAACTCTAACCCTAGCTCAAATCTGCCGATGTACATGATGAGCTAACTGGACAAATTGGTAACAGCAGGAAAGCTGTCCAAACTAAGGTAAGCGGTCAGCTGGTAAGTGCAAAAAGGAGTAGCTTTATGCTGCCCCATATGTAGAAAGGCAGCCATACGTACTTCTGGCTACATATTTCGCTGTCTCCAAAAATGTATATAGGGCCATGTTTTCAGAATGAGCATAGTGTGTATTACTCCACCTACATAGAGCGACAGAAGATCAATAAATTCACTACAGTTTGACAACTATTGCAGCTGTTGGACAACATAATGTTCTTTTAAGGGTTTTTAGGCAAGAATGTAGTTAAGAATGCAACTATGCAGTTTTTTTTTTTTATACGGATAGTGCCTTTTTTAATATTAAGAATTTCAGAGAGTCAGCCTTCAGCCTGTCATACTTGGCACAGCAAAGATGGTTAACTTTCCAATACAATTGTATAATAAGTTCTTAGAGGGTAAAAACTTATCATTTTCTCAGTGTATAGTTTTAAACTACGGCTGAACAAATCACCACCGAACAGGTAAGTGACATTTTAAGTCGATCTATCTCTTTTGCATGTTGTAGTGCTCTATTTATACCATAGTAACACTGTAGTGTATTGATTTTCTTTTGGCTTTTCCGGGGATAATTACTGTGAAATTCCGTTTGCAACAGAGAAATACTGAGAAATGTCTCCAGACTGAAGGCATTTCATGCTGTTTTGCATGTTGTAGTGCTCTATTTTTACCATAGTAACACTGTAGTGTATGGATTTTCTTTTGGCTTTTCCGGGGATAATTACTGTAAAATCTCATTTGCAACAGAGAAATACTGAGAAATGTCTCCAGACTGAGAGCATTTCATGTCGTTCAGCATTTTAATTTTAAAATGTGAGCAAAATCAGCTGTTTTCTCATTACTGTTGACATTACGTCAGAAAATCATTCGATAACAAGCTCTAAAGTGATAATGGTAAATTAGCAATGGTTTCTGCTGTTCTGACTTCAACTGCAGTTGTAAATGAACAGCGGAACAAAGTATTTCCTCGTGCAAAAGGATTTATGAGTCTGTCTGTGTTTGATTTCCTTTATAATATATACACGATTATGCCATCAAACTGTTGTATAAAAGCAATATCACACTCGTAGCATAGTGATAAGGCTCTATTCACGTTATTCTTCGCGTATGAGCGATCACAACCATTTGAATCTTTTTGGCTCAAGATTTCCGGTGTCATTCACTTCCATTCATTTTTATACGTAAAAAAACAGCTCCTAATGTTGATTGATGTTGTAAACTGATATTTTCTTATTCTATTGTTCCACTTGGGCAGCACTGTGGCATAATGGGTAGCACAATCGCCTCACAACAAGAAGGTCAGTGGTTTGAGCCCTGGCTGGGTCAGTATAGTCTGTATAGTCATGCAAACACTTGTTTGTAGAGCAAGTAGTTTGACTGTTTTCTGCGGTTTATTATTCCTAGTCATTTCTCCCATATCAGCTGAATCTAAAGTTCTAAAACAATCGCAAAACAGAGTGCACTTCCGCATTGAAAAATAAGGTCAATATCATCACTGGTGGGACACTAAGGGACTTGCGCCTTCTAAGCCAACACACGCCTTCCACCAGTGCCGATACACAGCCATATCGCACTGCTACTCGTGTAATATTGCTCATATGTAAAAAATTTAATTCAATCAACCTGCTATTGAAGTAATTGTAGAGTCAATGCAAGAAAGATATAACTCCCCTTCAAATCATAAGGGGCTCAGTGGTGCGCTGAGCTCAAGCATTATTCAGTATTTACCATTCTAAATACAGTAAAATCCAGTAGGCAGTATAATAGTTCTTTGTTTTCATCTTTTTATGTTTAATAACTTTCCCAGACTCCACAGCTCATGTGGAAACTGCTGTGAATCTTGCAGCGAATAATAAATCTCACTTCAATTGACAAATCAGCTGAATAATTACTCAAAGTCAGCAAAAGCGCTGTCATTCCAGAAGTTACGGCAATCACAGTGGGTTAGCATCTGTTTCCATGGCAATAATTCAATAATGCACCAATTTGCTGGCAACAAACTGACACAAACTAAACATTATTCTAGAAAGCAAAGTTTATGTGTGTAATGAGATGTAACCAGATTCAGCAGGTACACAATAGAACAAAAAAAACAAAACATAACATAAAAAGCTTCACTTTCACTGAATTTATGTTTGCTTCTCCATTATTGTGTAAAGTGACATGGATGGGTTTGACACATATAATACAAATGAGCCGTACCTCCAGCCCTTCTTTTTGATGATGTTTCCCAGTATGACTTCAGCTCTGTAACAGACAGAAAATTTAATGATGAATCATGGAGCGAAGTGAATTCTGGGTAATGTTGTTGATGCTGAGTCACACTCACTTTCCAGCAGCGTACACCTCTGCAGTGTCAAACAGATTCACCCCGCTCTCATACGCTATAGTCATCAGCTGCTCAGCAACCTGCAATACACAACAAACACACACAGAAAATCAGAGATAGACGGGTCATTGTCCTGAGGAAACCCTGTTGGTGTGAAACTGTTGCTTTTCAGGAAGTGGTGGATAAAGTATGTAAATCAAGTACTTCAAGCCTAATGATATACACTAACTGACGAAGGTCTTGTTGCCTATCCAAGTTTTAGGAACAACAAATAATACCTTGACTTCTAGTTGATCATTTAGTATCAGAAGTGGCTTATATGAAAGGCAAAGGCCCCTAGACTACGCTTATTTTACCAAAATAAAATATGATCATGCCTTGATTTTAAATTATTTAATTAAGACAGTAAGGTCTAATTTTGCTTAGACAAAAGTATTGTCACTTAACAGAAATAATGTACAGTATAGAATATAAAATCATGGTGCAATGGAAAAAGAAGTTATATTGTGGATGACTCCCATGAGCTTGGAAGACTGCATCCATACATCTCTCTGGAATGGCAAAGAAAGCATTCTTGCAGGACTCCTAGAGTTCATCAAGATTCTTAGGACTCATCTTCAGTGCCTCCTCCTACATTTTACCCAATACATGCTCATTAATGTTCATGTCTGGTGACTGGGCTGGCCAATCTTGGAGCACCTTTACCTTCTTTGCTTACAGGAACTTTGACGTGAAGGCTGAAGTATAAGAATCAGTGCTATCCTGCTGAAGAATTTACCCTCTCCTGTGGTTTGTAGTGTAATGGGCAGCAACAATGTCTTGATTCCTCAGGCTGTAGATGTTGCTATCCACTCTGCAGATCTTTTGCACACCATACACTGAATGCAACCCCAAACCATGATTTTTCCTTCACCAAAGTTGACTGATTTCTATGAGAATCTTGGGTGCATGCGAGTTCCAATAGATCTTTGTGATGATTGGGTTGCAGTTCAACATGATTCCTCAGAAAAATCTTCCACTTTTCCAAATGATCAACTAAAAGTCAAGTTATTATTTGCTGCTCTTACAATTGGAATAGATGACAAGACTTTTGTCTGCAAGTGTATTATCCTGGTAAAGTAACTCCTTTACTCCTTTTGACTTCAGCCAGAATGTCCAAAAATTGTAAACCTTGCTTAAAAAATAAATAAATAAATAAATAATAATAAACTGAAATGCATAAAATTAAATAATTAAAATTTAAAATTGCATTATAATCACTTTCATCATAAAATTTAATTAATGTGTCAGTACTTTTTAAAAATTGTTTTATAACAACTGTAGTAATATTTAATGGCATTTAAATGATATATTTCCTCACCTTAGAATTATAAGGTTCTATGTGACATTTTTGTAAAAGTTGAGTTATTTACATATTCTTATTAAATGACAACTTATTTACATTATGGGAAGTTTTTTATAAGTTGTTTACATGTTAAGACTTTATATTTAATAAACAATTGTTACACACATACTGTTTGTTATGGAATGCAAAAACTTTGAAACTCAATATCTCAAAATCAATTAGAACGCAAATAGAACCTTATAATTCTAATGCTACGATTTGATTTGTTAAGAAAAAAAAAGAATGCTGTTATAAAATTTATAAAACACTGACAGGTTTTTAAGACAAAGAAATTTGAGGATCTTTGTTTATGTCAAGCTGTCATAACAAAAGCTTTTCAAACAATGTCATACTTGGATCTAAGCAAATGACACTTAATGGCAGTTGTCATATGCATAAAGTCTCGTTCATAATCATGACATATCATGTCTTAATCCTATAATAACCCCTTTCAAGTGTTACCTCAAGTCTTATTCCAGTAAAAAGTAAATCCTTTATAATTTTACTCAAATCATATTACAAAAGAGCTTCAGTAATTTTACTTAAAAAGAAAAAAAGACATTCTTTAAAACCTAAAAAATCTTTCTGAAGAGAACATGATTCACCATGTCTTTGTTTTGAAAACGCTGCTTCATTGGCTGCACTTGAAATTCTGCCTTGACAACCCTGCTGGGGTGCGATTCTCAAAACCATCGTTAGCCAACTAGGGTCGCTGGTTTTGTCGTTACAAACATAGTCTGTAGTTGTTGATTTTCATTTGAAACATTCTAACGTTCATAGTTGGAATTATTAAAAATAAAAAAAGCATTAAGGTCATCTCTCTCATGTGTAAATTGCTTTCAAACTATTTTTACAGTTCAGTTTTAGCGATCTTTATGTTTACCATCCTGCTTCCTTTGCAGTGCATTTCAAAAACATTGATGTCATTTTGAACACAGCTTCATGGCGAAATCTATAGGTAACCTATTATTTAAAAGCAGTCTTCAAACCTTGTATGATTTTTTTCATTTCTAATAAATAATAAATATTAAATTTAATTTTATAATAAATAGCCTCATTATTTATTTATAGGATTTTTATGATATTAGAATACATGTTAGCTTTTGGAAGTGATATGTTGAATAGAATATGTAATTTTCAACTTCTCAAAAATATTAGTAAAGCAATCATAGACCCTATGTGCCATTTACATATATTTCAGTTAATATGGAAAGCAAGTGCAATTATTTTACCAAATCTAATATTGGATTTTATTTTAAATGCGTGTGCTTGTAAAACAATATAATTTGCACAAAGAAATTATGTGTTTTTCTCTAAAGAAGTAGTTACTCTACCCAATTTAGAGCATCATTTTGGGCGTTTTACAATATAACTAACGTGGTTCAAGCGATGGATCTGCGGCAGAGAAACTAAGGGTTTTGGGAAACACTCGTCACTACATCGTTCCCAAACGATGCATTATACTATGTTAGTTCAGCTGCGAGTTACGTCATTGTTTGGGAAACATATTGGTTAATATATATTATATAATACAAAAATGATGTTGAATTTTGCTTAATTGCAGCAGGACAGAGGCACTTTTTGAACCCATCTGACGAAATAGAAAAGTAAAATTACTTAGTAGATATTTAAATGCTGACATACATTTTTCTTAATTTTTATACAAACAGACGCACTGGGTAGCGCTGTCGCCTCACAGCAAGAGAGTCGCTGGTTTGAGTCCCAGCTGGGTCAATTGGCATTTCTGTGTGGAGTTTGCATGTTATCCTCATGTTCACATGGGTTTCCTGCGGGTGGTCCGGTTTCCCTGACAGTCCAAAGACATGTGCTAGGTGAATTGTGTAAGCTAAATTGTCCGTAGTGTATTTGTATATGTCCTGGTGCTCCAGGTTGGGGGTTGAGTGTTGGGCTAATGACCCACCTCGTAAAAATTAAATGTTACAAAACACCAACATTGGTGTTTTTGCAACACCAGTTTTGTCTATTAGTAATTTTTAATTATCTGTACTTAAACATTTAAGTTATCTGTAATTAAACATTTAAGGTAGTTCAACAAAGAGACCATATTTAATCAATTATTTGATCGATTTCCTATTACTCAAACAAACTGAGGGAATTACTTTCTCAAATCATTTGAGTAGTCTCAACTTATTAGGGTTTACATTGTACATGGCTTATTTCCAAAATCATTACATGCAACTACTATACTATTACTGTTTGAACATTCCTGTTTGAATTAATTAATTTGAATCAAACTTAGTGTTTGAATTACTCTTATAAATAGAAAGTGTGTGGTAAACAAAACTTTATTCCATCCTCATATTGAGTTTCTTTAACCCCTTTGTTTTGGCATCAAACAGATATATATGGTTTATGATCTGATTAAGGTTTGTGACAGGTTTACTATTACAGGTATAAATGTTAGTTAGATGGTAGACAGGATTAATAGTGTTAACTGCAGATGTATTTATAGAAAGTAATTATAGATAATACATTTTCTAATAAGTTTAAGGCATTATATAATATAAATACAATGGACTACTTGCATCTATACAATATGTACATTGTATCAAATGTTTATTTAAAATGTAAATCACATTAAATAATTGGCACACACTATTTGGCTTGATGCCTGAAGTTTTGTGATATCCTACTTGTGTCTTCAATTTTAAGTTCCTCCTTAACTTTTCTTATGAGAAGCCATAATTATATTTCCCCCTGTCAAGTTCAACAAATCTCCCAGCTCATCAATAAAGGACTACTCATCCAGGAAGGTGACCCTCGGCGCAAAGACAGAGATGAAAGAGAGGTAAGGAAAAATGCCAAAAGCATATTAAAGATAAGCTAACTGATCAAGTGCACAGCTTGTGATGATGCTACACTACTAGGTGGTAACCTACAGGTCAATGTCAACATTTACATTTAGTCATGGTTTTGAACTTACAAGAAGTAATAGGTGAAAAAAGCTATTTTAATACTGTTCTTTACACTGTCAGTCCATGTCTAATTATTTGTCCAAATGCTGAGATCTGATTTGTGTTTCCAATTGTTTCATTTTACCAAATATTTACATTGGTTATCATGGCAATGATAATGTGTTGCTATGATAATTGAGTATTTCCAACAGCTGTGTAATAAGTAAGGGATAAAGTACATCCAGGCAGTTATTGCGGGTTATAACACGGCTGTCCCGAATACTCGATTCTAATGGGGATCTAATGATTCACCTGACTCACGATTCAATACAACGTCTGTGACAGTAGTTTTTTACTGTGCTGCATCATATTCATTGTTCTGTTTGTTTAAGTTAATGTCTTTTTCCAAGTTTGGGCCTGTAAACCCTGCGCTCTCTCTGTTAAAAATGTATCGTGATTCGTTCAACATTTCTACCGGTGTAAACCATCACATATTTGATAATTTTTTATTGACTCACGGTGAGTTGTTACATCCCTAGACTCTAATAAGGTATGTTATTCTGAGATAACACCCGCTGAATAACACAATCATCACAAATCATCGGGGAACATTGAATCACCATTGTACAATTTCACATCCATATAATTACATCCATATTAACATGTATCTGCTTATCTGTCACACTTAAGTTTTTTACTGTTTGCTCCTGTCATATGCAACTGCTTTGAATGTTATCACTCGATTGAGTGGGCATTATTAGTGGTTAAATCTGATAGATATGGGCCAGTTGGGGCCTTCTGCACCAACTGGTAGGCTCATAAAGCTTTTATCATCCATTCACATGGTTAAACAGCTATATCCTAATAGAAAGACTCCAGATCTAGATCTGTTTTTACATTATTGTGATGGTTGGGTTAAGGGTTGGAGTAGATGTTAATAAAATACAATTAATTGTAAATTTAATAAGTAATATAAATTATTATCGTTAACTTCTGGCCGCAGCGGTATGTGATCTAGAGCTGATTAACCATGTAAATGGATGATAACAGCCTTCTAAGCCTATCAGTAGGTGCATACTGGTCCATATCTATTAGCTGATAACCACTGATAACGCCCGTTGAGTGATGACATTCGAATAGGGTATCTTATGAATGAATAATATGTAGGTTAGTATATAGTGTAAACAGCCCCATATAGTGGAGAGGGGTCTGGATGCCGACCAGGGGTGCGTTTGTCAAACATAACTAGTGGTGGAACTATCATAGTACGATGCATTGTTTATGAAAAGAACAATGTAGTCACCAGTGTTTCCCCAAAACAGTACTTTCTCTGTCGCAGATCCATCATTTGAACCACGTTAGTTATAACATAAAACCTTCATAATGGCGCTCTAAATAGAGCAGAGTAACAACTTCTATAGAGAAAATGACCATAATTTTTTGTATAAAATTATATTGTTTTACACTAACATGCATTTCAAATTCAATATTAGTTTTACTAAAAATATGCACTCGTTTTCTATATTAACTGAAATATATGTAAACGGCACATATAGGGCCAATGTTTTCTTTACAAATATTATTGAGAATATTCCATATTCTATTCTAAAACTTAAAACTACTTAGCTAACACTCTTATATCATATATAATTAATATAAATAAATAATTTATATGATTTATATATGAGATTAGATTGTTAGTACTTTAGAGTGGTTGTAATTTACAGAAGGCAATTTATTAAGAAAAGTAATAATAATAAATATAATATATATTCATTCATTCATTCATTTTCTTTCCAGCTTAGTCTCTTTATTAATCTGGGGTCGCCACAAGCGGAATGAACCGCCAACTTATCCAGCATGTGTTTTACGCAGCAGATGCCCTTCCAGCTGCAACCCAACTCTGGGAAACATCCATGCACACTCATTCACACGCATGCACTATGGACTATTGAGCCTACCCAATTCACCTGTACCACAAGTTTTTGGACTGTGGGGAAAACCGGAGCACCCAGTGGAAACACACATGAACGCAGGGTGAAAATGCAAACTCCACACAGAAACACCAACTGACCCAGCTGAGGCTCGAACCAGCGACCTTCTTACTGTGAGGCGACAACACTTTCTACTGTGCCACTGTGTCACCAAAATAATATGTTATTGTTGTTATTATTATTATTATTATTAAGTAGGATATTGTTTATTTCATTTTTTTGTAAAAAGTCTACTTTTACAACTGTGACACATTCAAACCACTGCAGAAATGTTCTAACCACATGGCCCATGTCATATACAGTAGGCTACAAACACATTTCTTAAATAACCTACTATAAATTAAAACCCTTAACTTATGCTATATATTTTTGTTTTCAAAAAAACAAACGTAAATTCTGCTTTTAAATAATAGCCACCTAGGCTATAGCTTTTGTCATGAGTAACGGTTGCGTTCAAAATGTCATAAATGTTTTCTAAGTGCACTACAAAGGCAACGCAATTGTCAATATGAAGATAGTAACACAACATACTATATATTACTGCACACTTTAAGTAATTTATTAAGCGTTAGCAAATAGTTAATCATTTGTTAAACATTAACTCATTATAATACATTAGTAAGCAGTTTATACGTACAGCTACAAATGCTCTACTCTTAGAAATGTAAATTGTGCTTGATGATTGCATTTTCATATTTTGGTAATGGCAATTACTAAAATCATTACTAAATTAGGTATTGCATTATTTATAAACCAAAACCAAAGAGTAAGTAAATGATTAATAAACTGTTCAAATTAACGTTTAGATATCTTCATATTTAGGCATATACTTATAATTACAATGAATGTTCCTCACTGGTGGAATGATGTTCCCTTTCCCACTCTAAGGATACACTAATATCCTTCAAACGACAACTAGAAACCCATCTTTTCGTTTACATTAACACCTGTGTACGTGTGGACATAGCCTTAGGAACTTGTCTAAAAACTTAATAAATCTCTTAAAATCTCAAGATCTAAAGATTCAAGATCTTTAAAAAAAACTCTGCAAACAAAATCAGCAGCTTTACTTATCACTGAGCTGTTTAACTATTTCTGTCAGATATCAACAAAAGTTCTTAGTAAGATTCATGAAAGTATTTACTTCTGTGGTTTTACACCAGCATTAACTTTACTTTATGACTTTTTTCATTTGTCTTTTTGACACACAGTAGTCTGTTAGGGAACTACTGGTTCTGGTCCTTGCGGTCCAGCTGGCGTTTCTGTGCGGAGTTTACACATTCTCCCCGTGCTCCCGTGGGTTTCCCCCAGGTTCTCCTGTTTCCTCCCACCGTCAAAAAACATGCAACCTAAGTTAATTGACTAATCCAAATGGGCATCATAAACATGCTCCTAGTAAATAGTTATCTTCTAAGGTTTATTAGCTACTATAGCAGGGGAGTTCTCGAGATCTACCTGAGCTCAAACTTCCCTCTCGCCTTGCAAACGGGAGGGAGCCCCAGGCTTAAGGATCTTATGAGCTCAGGGCTCTTTCCCAGGACAGCATGCCGAACAAGCTTTATAATCAATCATTAGTATAATCATTTTAAGTGTGAACTCTTGAAAAAAATGTTAAATACGCTTATGAATATAAATAGATCTTTTGACAGCAGTTGTTTTGAGTTTGAGTTTTGAGTTCTTACAACATGTTTGTCCACCGGCAACTAGTTGTCGCATATTCAAATATGATTTTCTTAAAAAACATCAAAACATGGAGAAAGTAAATACAAACCATGTTCATATAGGACACCATTAACAAGGCTACATGCATGAAATCATTCTTAAATATTTGGGCACAAATAGGTTAACAGAACCCATACAGTTTTGTGACCTAATCTAAAGTTAGGACTATTTATTCTTTATAAATCTCTTAAACACTTACGTGGCTAAATATAAAATAAACCATTTTTACAAATCAGATAGCTATCCAATTAGAGAAAACAAGTGAAGAGACCAAGTATAAACAAAGTGTAAAAGTCTAAATCGAACTAATGGCCGGCCGGAAATGCGATGTGAACATCAATTATCATAGCATTTTTTTATGACACTATATAACAATAAATAATATTTTTACAGTACTGTGACGATTAGGTTTAGGTTTGGGGGTAGGTATTAAAAAATACAATTTATTGGGTGATTTATAAGTTAGATTAAATAATACTCTGTACAACTATACTGTTTTTACATTACTGTGATGGTTGGGTTTAGCGTTGGGGTGGGTTTAGGGTTAACAAAATACAATAAATAGAAATTTAATAAATAAAATAATTAATTCTTGTTAACTTCTGGCCGCAACCATATCCAATCTAGCAACAACCCTATTTTTGTCGAACAGACTGTGAGGAAGTCCTCAAAATTGAACAACCCTGCAAACATAACTTGTGTACAAAGAATTTAAAGTTATTGGTGTCCATTTCGGCTGAGAACTGCAGCAAATATGATGCATTAGAATACTTTGGGTGCAAATATCTTGGTACATTCTTCCAGTGTGGCTTTCTTGACTTTTAAAGATACATTGCTCATAGGTTATAAAGTAAAGCTCAAATATAATGGCTGATATTTAAACAGGGGGAGGAACTGAGAGAAGAGCAGTTTTCACAGTCTGTAGACCAAGAGTGAACACAACGTCAACTTTAGTTCATTTAACAGAAGCCTCTTCACACTTCCTTTAATCCTCCTCCTACTACTTTCACACACCGTCCAAGACTGTTACTCACACAGAGTCCTAACATAAATTCCTGATTCAGACGTTACCCTCTGACATCCCAATGCCGCAGAGAAAGCAAATCCCTGATGACGGCGGAGAAACAAACTGCCCTGTCAGTCTACGCTGCGAGTCCTGTTAGATTCACTCAGCTGACAGTTCGCTGAGTCATTCTGCTCAACACTAGATGTGTGCCTGTTTAGGACGGGGTGACGATTCCAACATCTCATCTTTATCTCTTGACAGACAGTACAGAAAGTCAGGGGCTGTTTGACCATGCATACTAAAGGTCATTTTAACCCTTCCATCGAGGAGAGCAGGCTGTTTTATATAAACTTACATGCCCTCAAAAACAAATTATCATCCTCACTTGTCCTCTGGGTGGACGTGACTGTCCCTTCCACAACATCTGCGTCTGTGCTCTTCAACATTTTACACAACTTCTAGAACAACATGTCAGAGTCTTTTGCATCATGTGCATTCACAAACACACAATTCAGAGTATCTGCCGTCTGCAGGCTTTTCTTGTCTCTTTTCCTCTCGGATTTGAATAGTTCAGACTTTCATGGTTTCAAGTACAGGTTGAGAAGAAAATAACAATTCTCACTTACATCATCTGAAATCTGCCCTCCAAATGTCACCCAAGTGCCTGAAAAGGAAAAAGGAAAAGAATATTAAGTGCTGTTCAAGGACAAATTGTGATGTTTCTTGCAGAAGCACTTCTGCCTCATTTAATGATTATTTGATTATAACTTGAAGCAAAAGGACTAGGACCTGAGAAAATCTGTTCATTTGTGCTGTATTGTCATATTATCCTCCACAAACATCTACCATGTAATTAAGAAGCCAATTTTTGTTTAACCTTTAATGTGTTGTTTTATAATGTGCAATGCTACTGAACATGCAAATTGCGGCCAATTATGCTAAATGTGAGAACAATGCTGCAAATAAGAGGCTATTTAGCTCAGACAAGATTTAAAAAGCCCATTTTACAAGTGAGAAATTGCTTTTAATAAAGTCTCGCCTCAGGCTGTTCAAAATGTAGGTGACTCTTCAGCAGAAAATCAATGAAGATTTTTAGCTAAAAAGGGGGTCCCTCATGATCTATTACATGCAAGTCTACGGGACTTTGAGGTAGAATAAAAAAAATAACCCCGATGATACATCGAGATCTTTTAAACTAAAAAGATGGGTCAGTTTTAGAAACTAAACCTTATTACTTTAAATCAACAGCCTTTACGTGAATATAAAAATTAAAAACAAAATTTAAGTTATTAATTACAATAATTGTGGTTTTATAATACACGTTAATATCCTCAATCTATATCAAGAAATCATTTAAACATATCATAAAAACATTAAATGAGATGTAATGTTCCCTTGATGTTAGCTTTAAAACAATTTGAGAGATTTCATTTGTACATAAATAGGTCCATAAATATTTGGACATCGGCACAATTTCAACATTTTTGGCTCTTTACACCAACACAATGGATTTAAAATTAAACAAACAATACGTGCTTTAACTGCAGACTGTCAGCTTTAATTTGAGGCTATTTACATCCAAATCTGGTGAACACTGTAGGAGTTACAACAGTTTGCATATCTGCCTCCCACTTGTCAAGGGACCAAAAGTAATTAGACAGAATAATAATCATAAATCAAACTTTCACTTTTTAATATTTGGTTGCAAATCCTTTGCCCTCAATTACAGCCTACAGTCTGGAACGCAAGACATCACCAGATGCTGGGTTTCATACCTGGTGGCCTCTACAGCAACTCTCTTTAGTTCCTGCTTGTTCTTGGGGCATCTTCCTTTCAGTTTTGTCTTTAGCAAGTGAAATGCATGATCAATCTGATTCATGTCAGGTGATTGACTAGGCCATAACATTCCACTTTTTTCCCTTCAAAAACTTTGCTTTGGGTCCTTCTCCTTTACATCTGCACTGTGAAGTACAATCTATTGAGCTCTGAAGCATTTGGCTTAATATGAGCAAGAATATTGCCTGAAACACTCCAGAATTCATCCTGCTGCTTTTGTCAGCAGTTACATCATCAATAAAAACAAGTGAACCAGTTCTATTGACAGCCATACATGCCCACGCCATGTCACTATACCAGCATGGGTCACTGCTTAGGATCATGAGCAGTTCCCTTCCTTCTTCATACTCTTCTCTTCCTATTACACTGGTACAAGTTGATCTTGATCTCATCTATCCATAGGATGTTTTTCCAGCAATGTGAAAGCTTTTTTAGAACTCTAATCTGGCCTTCCTGCTTTAAGGCTCACCAATGGTTTACATCTTGTGATGAACCCTCTGTATTCACTTTGGTGTAGTCTTCTTTTGTTTGTTGACTTTGACACACATACACCTATCTCCTGGAAAGTGTTCTTGATCTATCCAACTGTGGGAAATAATTATTTGGTCACCACCACAGTTGTTTATGTGGCTTTACGGTTATTTTGATGTTGCTGAGCCCACGGGTGCATTCATTCTTTTTAAGAATGTTCCAAACAGTTATTTTGGCCATGCCTAAGGTTTTTGCTATCTCTGATTGGTTTGATTTGTTTTTTTGTTTTTTTTTTCAGCTTAATGATGGGTTGCTTGACTGATAATGACAGCTCTTTGGATCTCATGAGAGTTGACAGTAACAGATTCCTTTTATCTGCTCATTTTAATTGGTATGATAGAGCCAAAAATGTTTGAATTGTGTTGATGTCTAAATATTTATGGACCTAACTGTATGTGCATAATTACTATCCCGAAATTAATAACACATGGAATTGACATGAAACGTGTAATTTTGAAATATTTTCATGATTATGAGATGTATGTATGTAATGTTCTAAAAATATAAATGAAATTTTTTAAAGGAAACTGTATATTTCATTTAAGTAATAAACAAACTTGGTAAGGCTTTGTCCAGTGTCATCAATAACAAAAAAGAAAAATACATGCATCACATCTACATGTGACAAGTATTGCAACGTAAATAACAGGTTTAACAGTTAAAAAAGCTAGAGTATATTAAAGTATGACTTCTCTCAATTTCTGAAGAGCTAAAGGTCACACATGTATTACTGCCTCAGTCTTTTTTTATGCAGCTACTACCAGCTACTAAACTAAGTTTCCACTTTTACTTCTAACATTTACATTTAATTACATTGGAACATTTATATGTAAGATTTATATTAAAATCCCACATTCAGAATATTTCCTCAAAACCTCAAAAGAATTTTAAAAGGTGACATTGCAATTATTATTACATTAGCAGCACAATCTCTCCTAAACTGCTCTCAGCCTAATTACAGCATCACTCCAACTGAATTATAGATTTGCAGCGTTTAGCCAGTTACTTCAGCAGTAGGGATCTACATGGAAGAAGCTTTACCAATTTCTAACAGCTGCAGATTCAGAGCAAATACTCCAAAGAGCTGTAAATCCAGGCCAGCAGAACAGAAGTTACAAGCTCAGCCAATGGAGCTTATAAATAGCAGCTGCTGTCTGACTCAGAGATGTAATGCTGCTGTGCTCTGACAGTGGAGAAAACCCCAAGTTTATAGCATATTGCTTATGGAGCACCAAGAAGCTGGGATATGTTCTCCTCTCTCTGAGGATGTTACGCTTCGTGTTTTAATGAGGAACGGAGATATATTTTAGTTCAGGGAATTTTCATATAGCTTTAATCCTGCACACTCAGTGCTGCAGTGAGGTCAAGTTAAGCTGGCCTATATTTAAAAACACTCTACTACAAAATGATGCTGACATCAGCAACCAACTTCCTATTTTGAGATGTTACAACAGGAGGATTCAGAAAAAGAAATGCAGTGATGTATGACATTCTGTACAGTGAACGCACTGTGGCATTTCAAGTTAATGTGACACTGAAAACAAAAGGAAATGCTATGAAGAACACTATGAAAGATGATTACACCCAAACACCACGCTACATCCAATGTTCATAGAAATATACTTTTAAACAGGAGTTCACTACTTCACAAAGGGGTCAAGCAGTATATTATTGCACAATGATCAGCAATAGGAAACTCTATCTATTGTTCTAGTTGCATATGGGAATATATTAGCTACCTGGACAAATGTACACTCAAATTTCAGCATGTAGGATCTGCATACTATGACATGCTTTTCAGGTTAGCTTAATTAATCTACAGTATTTAGCTTAACATATTATTTGCAGTAGTGTGACTTGAATGACTTCTGAAATTTCTCTAAAGTGCACTGTATTATTGAAAAGTATTAATTGTGCCATGTACATCATATACCCCAAATACAAAAAAAATCAAAAAATAAAATAAAACATTACAATAAATATTTGCAAAAAAAAGTAACTTCACAACAGATTGTCACTGGGACAGTACCCTTAAAAAGACCTCTTTTATGGTAAAAAGTTTAGTAACTTACAGTACAATTATTTAAATTAAGTTGGCAATATTAATATAACATTTTTGTGGTAAATAAGTTGCAAAAATAAGTTACAATATATAATGGTACTGCCCTATTGACATACTATTGTACCCCTAAAGTAACTTTTTTGGTTGAGTGTGAAGTTAAAATGCACAATATATAGACCAGAATGCACAGTTCCGTTTGGTTTTTATATAGATTTCATTGTAATAATAAAAATCATATTGAGCTAAAAAGGTCAAATTAAACATAAAACCTAAATATAACTGAGATAAACAGGTATTTCTTTAAAAAAAGAATGTTGCAGTGAAATGCAGTTTGGGTTTCTAGTGAAAGCTAGATAAGGTAAAGTTTTCAGACAGAAATACGTAGTGTAACAGTATTGAGATGTGTGAAATTAAATTGAAAATGAAAAATAGGCTATGCAAAAGTTTGGGCTACAAGATTGCTACAGTATCGCAAAGGTTTAAAGTCTCCACAGTCAAAAATATCATAGGAAAATAGAAGGCCACAGAGACAGTTCTTGTGTAAAAAAGATGTGCTAGACTAAGAAAAAATATCTAAATGGCAAAGGCGAAGAATGGTTAGAATGGTCACAGACAAACCACAGACCACCTCCAAAGAGCTCCAGGAACATTTTACTGCTGATAATATCATTGTACATCGTCCCACAGTTCAGTGCATTCTTCACAAAGAACAGTTTAATGGAAGAGTGATGCAGAAGAAGACAACAAGAAGAGTCGTTTGATGTATGCAAAGACTCATCTGGACAAGCCTGAATAACTATACTGTGGACAGATGCCACAACCATGGGCACTTGGATGGCAGAAAAAGAACAGTATTTCAGGAGAAGAACATGCTCTCTTCTGTAAAATATGGTGGAGGGTCTATCATGCTGTGCAGATGGTCTATCATGCTGTATGGCAAGCACAGGTACTAGAAACAATGCCAGAGTTGAAAATTGCAGTGATTTCACGCAGTATCAGCAGATTCTAAAGAACAATGTCCTGAAATCAGTCAAGAGGCTGAAGTTATGGCAGGGTAGGATGACCTAAAGTCAGTTCCAGATCTACTGAGGAATTCTAGGTCAGACACAATACAATGTTCTAGAATGGTCATCCCAGTCCACAGACTTGAACATCAACAAAAATCTATGGATTGATTTGAAATGGGCTGTTCATGCTCAGCACCCATCAAACCTGACTGAACTGGAGAAATGTTC